ATTAGCAGAAGCAACAGCAGCAGACGGAATAGGATAATACGAAAATCGATATCAGTCAATTATTATAAACGTTACGGTAATCTGACCGGCTGACAAAATTTACACGACTTCCATACGAGACTGGACATCTTGCATCAGCAGTAGCTGGGGTGAGATCAGATAGAACGAGGAACTCTGACTTGCTTATCGAGAATGAAGATAGCTACCTAGTCAGCTCCGTATGGAGCGGCCAGTAGTCGCGATTACGACGATCGATTCTAACAAGGGTACGTCTTTGTGATGGTGAAAACGATCCGACCGAAACGCGGTTTCGGATATTAGGTTACGATCGCATCGATAAGCTAGATAAATTCCGTGCTGCCTATTCCACTGGAAAGTGCTAAGGCCTGCTTATGGTTTAGGTGTATTATGATTTGGCGAAGAAGTTTATGGTATGTGGCGGTACCTTTGCCATATAGATTAGACAGTCGCGATGATGGGAGTAGTTTGAATGGCAGTCGCCGAAATCGACTGGACCCATTTGATGAACTATAGAAAAGGGCATGTAATAAGTCACTTATGCAGGAAGTTATCTAATCTTCTGATAGAAAAATGTTGTTGTATTTCGGAAAATGATACTGATCCTCATATTGAATGTTTATAGACAATGTCCAACAAAGACTAAATGCAGGATTTGCAAGGGCGCTATTCCTCCTGCCGCTGACTCGCAATGAGGCCACTTGGGAGGACTGTATAAATGACATAATTTTACCCAAAGCCAAAATCAGCAAAGAAGCTCAAATTGCTTGAAATGGGATCTCATGTCTCGTGAACATGTTTCTATCCTAATCCACCGGTTATGCTTCTGAGAGCTAGGAAGATTAAAACGCACTTATCTATTTGATACCACGAGATAATTAGTAAGGCAACCTGTTATTCATTTATTTATGCATCCTGGGGCTATTGTTGTTGTTGTTGGGACCGGTGAGGCTCAAAGAGCGCGAGCACACACGGGTACACATACAGGCCTGCTGATACATGAACAAAACTTGTTCGAATTCCCATAAAAAATATCCATTAACTTTATATATAGTAATAGTATAGCAGTTAGTAATGCATTTTTATTGGCGTGCCGGATCAAAACAAACCTTCATTCTCGCTCTGAAATGTCATACCAAACTTGATTGCCTACATCCGATCTGGATGGTTACTTCTTACAGCAATACCAAATCCTATTTTTAGAGAGCGTAGCTTGTGTTAAGATGTGGGGTCATTATGTATATATCATGGAAGGAGCCTCGGTGCTCAGCTTTGGCCACGGGGAAGATGTTCGGCTGGAGACTGAGTTCATAAATATTGATCATGTTATAACCTACCAATAAACGATTCAGAGCGAGGGGACACCCCCACCCAAACTCTCCGGTAGCGGTAGCCTACAAGAGTCTAGTTTTGTATTAGCAGTATTGGACAATCCATTTTTCCGTGATCTAAACGCGCTCGAAGTATATCTTTTGAGGAAGGGGCTATGAGAGGTTGCCGAATAGTATTCAAATCTGAGGAAAAATTGTTGTAAAGACGTTGTATTGATATTAGTAAGAAGAACTAGCTTTGATTTTCACTAATATGACATAAATATATTGCAACACCAGTTTGTTAAAATAGCTGGTCAGCCGTTTAGAAGCACTTTTTTGTCTTTTTTTTTTTGTTTTCACTTTATAGCAGATAAAATGATAATAATACGTTGAATTTTCTTAACGAAAACTTTAGTTATTTTTTTAAGTTTTAATTGTGCCGTTAAAAGTTGAGTTGTCTAAAATAGTCGATCCTTTAAGGGGATAAGGTGTATCGTTTGCAGATATGAAATTATTAGGATAGTGTTAAAACTATAAGTTATCTTTATATTGCCATAAATCTTGCTTTTTTACTCTTACAATTTAGTTTTCGTTGGCTCCCGATTATTATCTCGTATATATTTGTCCAAGCCGTTAATGAACTTGAATTAGTAGTATGGTTGATTTTCTATTTATTTTTTAATAATTTATAAGTGTTCCCTATTTGCAATAAAACGACCTACAATTTATAAGTGCTACTCTATTCTAAAAAACGGCCAGAGAAGTGGGCGACATAACAAATACTAGATGTCTTATGGTTATTATTATATAAAAAAATATATATAATAGTCAGTCATTAGTTAGCCGTCGCAATTTCCCTGACGTGCATACAGGCATACATCAACACGTCAAAACGCTACATAAAATCCTAGACGACTGAAAAAATTTTATGGATGGACGAATTCTACTATACAGCCGCCTTCCAATGACCTTTTCATACTAGATACGACAGCGAGAGAAAGTCCTTGCATTAGTATAGTACTTCAAAGCTTCGGTTTATTTGCGAACCCTGTCGTAATAGCAGCAGTAGTAGTAGGATGACACGCCCCTCGGATATTCTCCGAAAACTTTTAGAAGAAGAGCTAAACTGAACCTCAGTAGCGATAGAACTAACACGATCTTACTTTTTTTTTATTTTTGCTAAAGCTTTATCCAGTGAAGTAGAATCCCTCACTTTACAACTGGCACAAGTCTGCTTTACAACAATTAAAACAGTCCCGGTCTGAAGAGCATTCGTGTCACAGTTGACGGGGCCACATATAGCCAACCAGAACGTATCTAACGAGCATGATTAAATATAGAAAGAGAATATTTTTAACCGTATGTTTTTCTTGCTTATACATTTTTGGACTCAAATACAGACACGAATTTTGACAAATAACCTGTTCTCACTCACATGACGGTTATAATGTATTACTAATAGAGTGTATAATAGGTCTGAAGGAACTCTCTCTTTAAAAAAATCAATAAAACCACTTAGTAGACCATACGCAATGGCATAGAGCGACTTTCTAAGCTATTATTACTGCTTCTCTGTGTGTTTCGTTGCTTAATGCCGTTTACGTAAGTCACTACCGAGGCACACATTGTTTAATAGTAAAGTGTGCTTTTACAGGACAATGCTATCATTACATCAATTGTGTCTGCTAAGTAAGTTCTTAGTTATATAACGATACTTTTCTACAACAATAGTTTGCTGCAGGACAGAAGCAAGTTATATTCATCGCACGTTAAGAACCGGCATATACTAACGCTGTTTCATAATTGAAGCTCCACAGAATATGGGGTGCGGACCCAACTGCTAACTTAACTGATAATAGCAAGATTAATAAGTAAGACTTGTAGTATTTGTGTATTGCTCATTCCTCTGCCTCCTGTAGGAAAGAAGCGAGACTGGTTATCTATCATGGCGAGACATCAAGCTTCAAAATGAATAATCTCGAGGGATATCCAGGCGTTTGCTGTTACATGCCCCATCTCGTGGTCTGGTTTGACCAAGCGAGGTCTTGAGTGGAGTCCATTAGAGACGTCTGATTCTTTTATGACTGTAGTTTCCCCTCGATCAAAGCTCCTATGCCCAAGTGCAAATAATAGTATGTGGGTGCCTGCTAAAATGGTTGACAGTGGCTCCCTGGACGCGCGTTACATTGTAATACCGCTCGAAGTTCTTGCCGCGAAAGGAAACAGCCCAAGGAACATGAGAGTAACATGGTCACAAAGATGTTGGGAATTTTTTGGCCACCGGTTGAACATGGCTATCACTGACTATATCACCGCCACAATTGATCATTAGCGTGTTAAAACTTATAACGGATAAAATTCTTGTCATATCGACTACGTATTTAACACTGGCTAATCAGCAAAGAATTGATAGGGTGCATATAGACGCTATAGAACCATATCGAAGAGTTGAAATAGTAAAGCGAATAAAAAACTTTAGTATGTTTACTTCTTTTACGAGGTATGGAGTGCTCATCAAGTTTTCGTTATTTTCCTAGTACCGTGAACTTAATTCGGAACATAACCGTTTGCCCCACATAACCGAAGTCAATTTTCTATAATATAGAATACGAACTGATAAAATCGAGCATATAAACATTGAGCTTTTATGTTATATGTTAAAAGCAAAATCATTTACTATCACCCTACAAAAAATTCGGCTCTAGCAATAATGAAAATATTACGCCTAGTAAAATCCACAAAAATTATTTCTTTTACCGCAGCGAACGCACTATTTTACTAAAGTTCACAGTAATATGCCCCCTCAAGAGCATATTTCGTCGCATCGAACAGTCTAAGTTTACCTGTTTGTACATTAGCAAGTGTTCTTCTAAGAACGAGCTCTTCAAGCTTTCAATGTGTCCGTTTGAAAGTGATTTTCTCTCTGAATTCTCACAGGCGCTTTATGCAAAGTAGGATAAACTGTCGGGTGAGATGCTTATAGAACCTCCGTTGACCGTACCGGCAATATGATCAACTGCCTAATGCGTGAATACTTCGGGAATGTACGCCTTATTTCCAGGTTGACGCATTTGCGTAAAGCTACCGCTAGAATCGTTTGCTTTTAGTGCCTGCGATAATGGACAGATTTTTTTTTGTCAAAACCACGCTATCGTGCCTTAGGTGCCGCCAGAAAGGCATTGTACGTTTTTTGACAAATAATTTGCTATATTGGTCCTGCCGAGCTTGACAGGCCTTCGATCACGACAGTCTAAAGAAGAAGAATTTTGCCTGATTTTTTGTGTACACAATAGATGAGCCGGTTATTGATAACTATCGCAGTTATTATATGTTGCAAAGCAGCCACTGCGGCCTGAAATGTATAGCTGCGCTTAAATCACTGTGCCGTATTCCATAGGGTATAGCACTGTTGTTGTATGGCTTCAACTGTGACCATTTCAAATGGAGCCTGGCTTCAATTCGTTTTATTCCCTGTGAACTAATGGTTAAATTATGGATAAAAAATTATATATAATATAAATTAATCTAAATATTATATAAATTTTTTATATATGTAATTACACATGAAACATATGCGTATATCGCTATCAGATGCATACTTTTGCTCGTGATGATACAGTTGCAACGCGCTTGGCAACAGTGCCAAACGACGTGTTGGGCGGTTTGCGAGCGAAGATATCTTTCGATCCTCTAGTGAAAATATCAAGTAACATCTCTTGTTGCTCCGTCCCTCCAGGTTGAGCTCCTTACAGCCACAAGCCTTGAAATCAATGCCGGCCAGGGGTAACCTAGCTTTTCGCAGAAAACACAGCTGAAAGCAGTCAGCTATAGATATTTTTTTCAATGAGAGTCACGTATTGGACTACGCTTTATTTGGTTTGTGCTCATTTACGAATACCTCATACTACTCAACGGCGCCTTCTCTGATAAGCAGATAAAGTCTCCATTATCGAATTTACTCTGAATTTTACCGGATCAATAGTACCGAAACTAAATGTTTCAAGCCTCACGTCCGATACCGCAGTCATTCATTCATTCAGTCAGGGCATTCCATCAGATGGATAGCTCCCAACACAAAATGAAGTGCGCTTGTTTGCCTGCTGAACCTAAAGGCACGAGGTGGTCGAAGTTCGAATGATAATACCTGCGACAAAACAGTTTCACGATGATCTGCAAAGAATAACGATGTACAACTATGACTGGAAATGCGCCTTCAAAATTGATCTCTTCATAAGTAAGCGTGGAATAAAATAGATACGTCTGCACCATGAATTGTGCACATAAGCATTTCCTTTCGCGTTTTCGCACGAGAAAGAAGAAAGAGGACGCGTCATATTGCGATGGGTTGCACAGTTCGGAGTGCTGAGTTCCGCACAAAGCCGTACCGAGATGAGTCCCAGTGCCGGAAAGAGGAAATTTGCCGTCGAGTGTTTTGTACAAAGCGGAAATCGAGAAGCTGAAATCGGCTCGAAGATTCAATTTGGAGAGGGAAGAACATCATTTTGGATTAACCGGTCCAAATGTCTCTTTCTTGCGGGGCTCTGGCCACGTCAACCGCCACAGTTATCAACTCGAAACGTGTGAAATCGTCAAATGCCCTATGCCAGGTATGTGCTAGTGTGACAATTACTTCCTCACTCCTACTGCTGGACTTCGCTACGTGTTGTAGCTAACATTGTAGCATGTATCTTATGTTCATATAAATAACGACGCACACTCGTTTCCTTGTTTCGGCACAGATGCGTTGCGTGTAGACAAACGCCCGTATCCAAGTACCTGGTGTATAAATTGAATTATATATTAGAATAATTATTCCCCTATGTGTGTGCGTAGCAATGTATCATTGTTATCATCAAAATGTACAGTTTTGGTTTCTCTTCTACAAGCTCAAAAATTTGCAGGTACCCTGGAAGCGTTGGAGCGCTGCATAGAATAATCTTTATTCAATAAAATAAGCTTTTGCAGCTAGGCGTCCTATTTTAGATACACATTAAATTATACCTTTCGTCAATATATACAACAATAAAGAAAACAGGACAGTTTGATTACTTCACGTTTAAAGCAACAGAAGTACTAAATTATCATGAAGAGATAACATAAACTAAACAAACACCTTTTTTTAGATTACAAGAATATTTTCTAGGTTTGTCCGATAACAGTGGTAATATCAGCGACTCCAGTCGTTCTTACAAGTTACTACAGTTAACTACGTAACAATAACAGCCAAAACAACACGTCTGTGTGATGTTTTGCTCCTAAGATTGCCTATGAATATAGTTTTGCACTTCTGCACACACCGAATTCATAAAATAAAATATGTAAAGTGAAGTAAGATTTATGCGTATATAAAATGAGACAAGATGGCTCTACCAGGGATAGTATGGAGACCGCTGCCGCTGGGGCAGATTGTTGTGCATCCTATACCCCAACGCAAGTTCGAAGGAAAAAGTAGCGAAGGACTCACTTTGTTGCCAGTACATATTTAGGGCGACGGCCACCTCGTAAACAACTGCTGAGTTCGGACACTAGGCGCCTGCTGGCAAATACATTTCGAACGCAGATAAACAAGCTGTGTCGCGCCATATCAGCGCAGTCAAAATTACTTTGCTGAGGTCGGCGCGTTTTTTTCGGTCTGAAAAAATACGCTACCAACAGCAAATTTCTGTTTATGCAAATAGATATTGCTACGGGTCTGATATATATGCCCAGAGTATAGGGAACGGTCAGCAAGCACTGTAGACTGAACTGACGATCAAGATAACAAAGTACGTTTATGCTACAAAGAGGAAAAGGCTAGATGAATTTACCTTGCTTACGCTCTGTGAATTTTGTAGTTGCTACATGTTATTACATTTAAGTATCACCAGCTTGGATGAAGCAGAATCGAGCTTGCTACTATTATTGTCAGGTATCTTTCTGATAAATACGCTACCCTGTAAGCTATCACGGGAGTTATTATTGTCACGCGCCTGAAAGCGTAGTGAAGACCCGACGTTTCCTTTACATCCATGTATTTTGTTTAAGGATCAACTCCGTGAACTAACAAACATATGTCTTGAATGAAAATAAGCGGTTTACTTACTTGTCTTCGCTATTTGTGTGCACTATTGTGCGACCTTAGTGCTTTTTTCTCTTTCGTCGCACACTTTAGGGTTACAGTACTTTGGTCAGGAATCTGAACTCTTATCATTTATAACGCGAATTTCGAACAGGGATTTAATTGCAGTGTAGAAGGCATGTTGGATTTCACTATGCTGGGTAAACGATAACGTGTCACGCGAGACGGAACGGTTCACAAAAAACGGAATATTAGGTCTCTTTGTTGATGTTGGATCGAAAAGGATTTTGCTTTGGCCCAGTTGTTTGAACAGAAAAGTGGCACATCTGAATGGTAGCGCGGCAGAATCAGCAGTCCCATGTGAGTGGGTGTGAAAACGTTTCTCTGGCGGTGCGCCAGTTCCGCCAACGCCGATGGCTTCGGATGCAGGCGTCGTCGTCGTTCCAAGAGCGTCTTGGCTTCTCTCGGGTCGAAGAAACTAGCTCGCATTCCAAGCACGCGGTGACTGGGTTTGCTAGTTTCTCACAACAACGACGTGGTGTGAAGTTCCGGCTGCGTAGCCAAGCTAGGGGTAACACATGCGCCTTACAAAAGACGCGGCCGAGCACCAAAAAAGGGCCTCACTTCAAGCCGCCGGCTCTGCATAAATGAATCCCTTCAACCTCGGAACGTTGGCACAAGCAGCAGAAAGCGCAGCCGAGCCTACACCAGCGGCGGATGAAGCGGCTAAGCGTTGAAACGCTTCTCCCCCTCGTGCTGTGCCCCTTTTTGTTAGAAATCTAATTTCCGCAATTTTACTATTTCGTATTTCTACCACTAGCGCCATGACTACCACTACCCTTCCTCCACATCTACTACTATATCTTCGTTTTTTTCCTGGTGAAAAAAGCTGCAAAGGGAAAATGCAATTCTGTTTGCTTGAATGTCGTTGTTGCTCAAAAGGGAAAGCAACCAGAAAATGCTGTTCGTAGAAAAATTTCTGGCCTGAACCATCAACGAGTAGCCACAATAGATGATAATAACTAAGTGTTATGCTGTTTAGGCCAAAAATAAGGCGTTTTATTCAACAATTCGTTCAAATTGTTTACGAACATCAAAGCTGAGTTGCGGAAATAAACAAAGTCAGCCCGAGCTAGTAATATTGTCGAGTCATCCTAGTGATGGCCATATTTTAGCTGTTCAGTTGTGGCATATAGCCATCGCTATGTTGGATCTCTTTTCTTGAAAGTAGGCTTTTAGATTATGTGATATCACTGTCATGCTTATTATTGAGTCTAAGCACGGGAATAACATGCGGGAAATAGTGCATCCGAAATTAGCGAAGATGCAAGTCCTTCTTCCGTACTAAGCTGTACTCATACCTATGCTTATTTAGTTCACCTATATGTCTCGTGCCTGTTTTTTCCACGTGGGATATTAAACGTATCCGATAATGGACAGATATCTTAGACGTTTTTCGAAATACAACTACAAACAGGCGAAAAATCAACGTCGATCTCATTGCTTTTGAAGTTTTTTGAACACTTTATTTGAAGGGATCGCGTAAGTTTGTATGTACTTCATAAAAGATATAGAAATACATCTTTAGTAGATTTTTCTCATAATTGGAGGTGTTGTTAGCTATAGTTTAATATGGGCGATAATGAAGGCAACGGAAAAAGCAAAAAAGTATTTCGATGTTACTCCTGTGAACTAATCTTCCGCAACTAACGGCCTGTTTTTATAAAGTACTGTACAATTTGTCTTATTAAAACATGGCGCGTGCCCTAGAATATACAGCTGTCACAGCGTCATCGTCTTTCGATTCCGCAGCACGTCTATAACTGCACTCGCCTTTTTCGTTCTGTTTCCTCCACAACGATCCTAACATCGTGGAAATCCAGATGCTACGAAGATCACAAATCAGGTTAACTTCAAAATCTCAATCTTGACTGTTTTTGACCAAACATGTTGCCACCACCTTTTTTAGCAGTATCTGTGCGAACATAACAAACTCTCGAATCAGCGTTGTTTGCTAAATCCAGAAGAAAATATACGCTGTGTAAAAAATGTCAGAAGAGGGCCTGATAGCGCAAAACCATTTCTGCATCCCTTTCGTGGCCTCTTTTGCGGGCTCTAACCCAACTTATGATCTCCGTTTGTTCATATACCGTACTATGCTAACCTTAGAGAACAAACAAAAAGGAGAGAGATACAGGAACGAATAGGGGCGGGAACGTGTCCTGTGAATCCTTAGGTGTGAATCCATGTGTTCGGGTGTTTATGTACGAGAGTATCGGTAAGGAATGGTAGGAATCTCTCCCTATCTCGCTGCGCCTGCTTCTGTATCTCCTACAGAGATGTGCATATATTTATGGATGACGAGAACAGAGGACTCGAAGGCCGCCTAGCTGTCCGGCAGATCGGTGATCGGAGGGGAGAAAGCAGTTGACACTATGAGACTGTAAGAACCGTGAGGCTTTCAGCCTCAGCAGCACTTTGGAGTGCCACTCACGTTCGAGTTAGATATATTTCTCTCATGCGACAATGCGGTAGGCCGCACTCGGGGCCAACCGCGACGACGACGACGAAGACGAGTTGTGCGACGAAACACCTAGCGAAACGGAGAGGAAGGAAATTGTGGTGGGAGAGACAGCTCACGCTCGCACCAACCGTCTCCCTCCTTCGCCCTCTGTCGCGTCCGAGGCGTATTGACGACACAGAGATGCTGGCAGATCTTCCTCACTGGCCAAGCAGGGGCAAAGTTGATACTGCGACGCTTCAGAACCCACCAGCTGTCGGTGGCGACGCTTGCATCGGCCTCGACTCGACGTTAGTCAAGGCGCTGCCCGGGAAGCATTTCCCAATGCGATACGCGACGCGCAACATGAGAAGCTAGAATCATAGCGGAGAATGAAAGAGCGAATGACTGCTACCTACCACCAGCGCTATCTCCATATTTAGAATTCCACGCGTCAGGATGCTGACGTTCAGTCACCGCAGGAATGTTTTCGCTGCATTCCATCAAAAATTTGCAACGGTTTAGTTCTACGATTCGAAGTAAAGAGGAAGTGTGGGATTGCCGAGGTTGAGGTGAGAAGTGATGATAGAAAGAGTAGCCTGCCAGAATATAGCACATGTCTATGCAAGCGTTGCGTTACAAATTTTTAATGGTGCATGCATTTCTTCAGAAACTAGTTCTGTCGATAAAAGTATAGTAATTTATATTCCGTACTCACCTATCCGGATTATCATTAACACTATTGAAATCAGTAAAAGTAGACGATGATGTCTTTGTGGGGAACAAACAGTTAGAACCGTGTGGTTGACCCACCCGGCAAATGTCGCAGAAGCAGAATATCACACACTCCAAACCTTTTCGCTAGATCTATTACCACCCTGATGTGTGTTTCCAAAGCTTTTTTTCTATTGTAAAGAAACCCACGTGAACATGTGAAGTACTTCCAGCCTGAACAGATTCGCCTAAATCATTGTTACATCGTAGCCACAGTGTATACAGTGGTCAAGGAATTTCTATAGTAAGAACTGCGAATTGACGGACAAAAGCTTTCGTTTTTAAGAATAACTAATAGAATTTTTATTGCCCCTTACTCATACATGATAAATATGCTTCATCCATTGGCCCTCTACGCTATGAAACTGATTTACTTACGGTAATCACACGAGATTCTCTCGACCGTTCTTCTAGGCGATAGTCTAAAGTACCATTATTTCTATGAACGACTTCCTAACCAAATAAAATACAACACCAAAGAGACCATTTTCGTGTTAGCGAGTATTATTTCTACTAAGCGGTTCGTTGTACTACAGATATACATTTCAAAGTTGGTCTTTAAACGCCCATTCCATTGTCCACTATAGTTAAGAAACGTGGATAGCCTTAAACTTAAGGCTGTACGTAGAAGAAGATAGAGCCATTGTATAAACGGCTGAACTACTGCAGGAACAGGAAGTCGTTGAAACGCCGCTGGCTTAAAACCCAAAACGGAAATGTGTCCTGTGAAGCAATTCAGGCTTAAACTTAGGGTTCAACGAAGTCTACAGTCTGAATATATTATACATATATGAACATAGTATGTTCCAGTGTTTTTCTCTCCTGACTGCTCGTGAAATCTTAGTGCGGTAAAACACCTTTTTAGTGGCATAGGAAACTCCAGCTTGCGGGTATGCCCAGTATGTCATTACCACAAGCAACATCAGGAATCCATGACCTATCATAGCGCAACTTTAAGATCTCGTTACATGTAAACTGTATGTATCGGTGTCAAATGTGCTGGGTCTATGCCGAAGTAACAATTCTATTCACCGAAAACGAATAAGGCAAAATCAGTTTTTTTTTTTTCTAGAAGCCCCAAGGTGGATATGTGGAGGGAACCAATTATATTCATCGGCAGAAGCACTCTGATGGCGTCAAGGTATGCCTACTATATAGCCAAGGTGTTCAACATATTTCTAGTGGGATGCATTAGCTTAAGGCAGTGCAGATAGTACATCAGATAATGAGTTGCCGTACTGATTGAAATTCTGGCATTACTCAGCCTCCGTATATCAAAGTATTGACGATAAAACCAGTTGGGTTTTTTCTCATATGCAAAAGCTTGTTAGACCTATGTCTGCTATACATGACACAAAATGTACCTACGATAGGTTTGAACTTCACACTGGTAGGAAAAAATGCGCTACCATTGCATCATCACAGAAACCTGATTACCTTACATAGAGGTACATTGACCATCGGCTACTTTGCGTTAGGCTGTTTTTCAGAAGCCGAAAACATGTCTTTCCGAAGTTAGTTGGATTATGCTTGCCTATAACTTACCAGTACAACGATCAGCATGAAGTATGTTTAGTCGCGTGATATTAATGAAGGCGTTTCGATAATTAGATATAAGCCTTGGTCACTAGACAATATAGAGCCTGGGCATATGACCTATGCTAGAGCTCAGGATGATGCAACAAACAGGTTATATATGTGAGAATGTTGTTCAATTATTTATATTGTAAGGTAAGTACATCGTTTTCATATGTAACTAGGGTCGTATGAAAGAACGAAACATAAATTACCTAGTTGAGACAATTAAGCCATTAACAAGTTAATGAATCAGTGGATGACGCCAAACCTCGTTAAATTCCTCTATTATTCGGATTTTATGGTTATACTTTTGCTTAATCGGCTGCAAAATTTACGATATTTCCAGTGCCCTCTTCATCCGTAATATGCAGTAACTTTCGCAAAAGAGAGCGATGGGTTTTCGACTTCGAACAGTGGTTTAGCACGCAAGTCACCTTAAGCGAAGGAAAACCCCCTACCCCCTAACAGCGCTAAGGATGCTAACCCTATTTCGTCTGAAGGGACCTGCTGCTTTGTGCAGACGAGACTGGAGGACTGCAAACTCGATTGTAACGCCCGAGTAAATGTTCAACCCGATTAAATTGTTTCTCAGCGAAGACTTGTACAGATCCAATTTAAAGTTCAGGGCTCCAAGCAAAACTCGTATCCAGTTGAGTTCGACTTTCGAGTTATCGAGCCAGCCTTCGTAGGCGCTTTTTTCTTTGACATATATATAACTGCTTCCACTCTCCGCTATATACATGATCAATACTCCCATTTTCCTAAATATAATACTGTGCATTTCAGTAATTAAATACATGTTAGTGGATTACAACGTTTCGGTAAAACGGGCACAAAACAAACAAGCATGTTTTTTGCGAATGCGCTATATGGCCAATTGAATATCCGTTATTAATCCGTGATGTCTGACACGTACTCCGTATAAGATAGTCTAAACCTTCTTTACGTGTGTACATGGTATTATAAAGGAATGGCTATGTGTAGCTTAAAGAAGGATAAGGCTTAATAATATAAATAAAAGATAAAAAAAGGATTCCATTTTGGATCATTAATTCAGTCTCTGCTGATTTTTGTTAATTAACCCTAACCTGGTCTTTTTAACCAGATGTCCTAAACGTATAGAATACATGCCAAGCTATACTGTACAAAAAGCGACAGTTCCACTCACTAGCAAGCAAAAATATGTAAGTATGTTCCCAAGTATAATGTAGGATCTACATGCAATGAATTGGCTGATCTTGTTTAAACTACACATCTGTCGAATGGCATAGTGAATGAAATAAGTTGGTGTAACAAATGTATACGTAATCTTTCGACACCATGTTGATTGAATGCCCTAAGAGAACGTTGGTTAGCATCGTAGATGGTGTACCCCTCAGGTTGCACGAAATTGAACAAGGTAAAGTTTACGCTCAGGAGAGTATTATCCGTAAAAAAGACGTCTAAAATAGACTGCGAGAGAGAGAGAGAGAGAGAGAGAGAGAGAGAGAGAGAGAGAGAGAGAGAGAGAGAGAGAGAGAGAGAGAGGCGATTTGTAGCTGATAACGCCAGGGAAGAACAAGCAATATTTCAGCGGAGTCAGTGTTGCTAGCAGTGCCCCAATCCGTCCAACTTTTTCTTCGTGTTCCATTTTTCTCCTCTCTGTCCCTCTTTCTTCCATCTTTTTACTTTGTCTCTGAGCGTTTCTTGGCCACGAGGAGAGTTCGCGAAATTCGTTCGATGTTTTTGTTGGCCAGAATCATTGATGTGAGTGAAACCGATAAGCGCATGCTTCCATAGATCGGTGCAGCTTCTGCCGCTTTAGACTGCTGTATTCAATGAAATTGGCGCAAGAGAAGCAAAGATTGTTCTGCACTGACGAAGCGGGACGGCCAGGAGTATCAGCCCTAATCAATGGCGATAAATGTATCGGTACTGTCAGAGCAGTCGGCGAAACGCTCATGTTTGGTTATTGTATTACAAACCTGAATTTTGGTTTTACAAGGGATTAAGAGGGTTAAGAAGAAGTTAAGAAGAAGAAGAACGAGGTTGATTAGATGTAACGGTGTGCAGCAGACTGCGACTGCGATGCTTCCACTGACAAAAAAGCCGTTAACCACTTATAACAGTTTCCTGTTCTACTTTGAGTTTTGGGCTGTACTGGAGAGTCAAGCACTGCGTTTACTTAAAACTTAGCTATTTTTTTGGTACATACGAAAATTTTGACACTGAAACACATTTACTCTATTTTTAATCAGAAGTTGCCTTTGTGACGCCCTTTCAAACCTGTCACACTTCTACATTTACTAAAAACAACTCCACAGATGAGATGAGATACGTTCGAGATATAGTTTTGGAGAAGAAAAAGGTAATGGTGATTGGAAAAATTGAGCTGTAAAGACTTTTGTCCCACAATCAGTGCGAACCCATGTTTATCCAGAGACTTGCTGAATACTATCACTTCTAAATTTAATGTCAGTTATTTTAAAGGCACTAGGCCAGTTTCATTGGCAGTTATTTTGCATTCTTCTTTTAAATGAAGGAAACGGTCCTGTTTCCAAAAGATAGCGGCAAAAGATGACTGATTAGTTTCTACAGCTAAGAATAGGATTGTCATAAGATTCGTGATATCCCTCATCCATTTCAAAAAAGGTAAAATAGTTAGCAAGCAACCTTCGGGTTTTTCCTTCGATCGTTCCTCGCCAGTAGCTGCTTTTTGTATAGCCTGCAACCTAGCTGATAATAGATAGGCAGCGAGAAACATCCCTTGAGAAAATCGATAACGTATTCGGCGAAATGTTCTTATCTGCTTGATGCCGACCTCGAATTTATTCAGTTTATTTCAACAAAGACGTCCCAGTAGAACCCTTCTTGTCCATTTCGAAAAAAGTATCTAGGCCTTGTTGTTTTTCATTATCGCTTGTCGTTTTAGATATTCTTGTCTATCTATTGAGCAAAAGTAGTTTTTCTAAAAGCCCATAGATCTGCCGCCAGCATCCAGTATCCGGAATGTCTGTTACGTCCGTAATAAAATCCTTAGTCCCGCTGCTTTGGCGTCTGAGTACAATGATAAAAATTATATACTAAATTAAAATACTGCCACAAACTATCGGGCACTGCGCGAAAATTACAAAGTTCTAAGGTGAGGATGGGCAAGATACTCTAGATACCACCCGAATATCAGCTGACACAATTACGGTCTTACCCTCTACCTTTCGCATCCTTCCATGACGGAGCCAAATTTCTTAGGTTTCTCCTTTGAATGTATTCCGCTTTTCTTCGGCCTGCTTACGGATCAGTACAGAAACAAGTGTATGCTAAAATACATAATCCCATAATTAAAAGTTATGTTTTATTTACTGTTTTAGCTGCATGACCACAGTGAGACGCAGTGTACCTAGTACGCGGTAGTGTTTCGTCGTTGTTATCAGCTGTTTCTCTTACAACCTGGGCCATTTACTGTATAATGAATGCAATCATCGTCGCCAGCGCGCCCAAGCTGAAGCCTCTTATACATAAATGTGTTTATTGTTGTTCTGTGTTCCATATAACTGCCAAGGGCGTAAAACTGTTAACTATTTCTTGAAGGCAAAAAACCTCTATATTTCATAACCGTCTAGAAAGCTTGCTGTACGAACTAATAAGGAGAACGCACACGAGCAGTGCGTGGTTAGAACGAATAAGGGCGACGTCCATTGGCCTGGGAATCCTGAAGTGGGGCGTACAAACTAAAGCCGGCAAGAATCACAAGCCAGTCGGTTTCACCAACCCTCTGTAGTTTATTCTTTGGTCTCCCCCATTCGCTTTGATTCACACTTCTCTCGGCGTGTGTTATGTACGGTCAGTTCATTCCTAGATCATACGGGAGAGTATCCCCTTTCCTCTCTGTCTGTCTGCTATATACCTAAATGTTTTCATGTGACGCACAAAGACTGTCGTCTCCACAGATTCCTTTCGCGTTAAAACCAAGTGGAGCGGAACAGTTCTTTATTATGTAGTCAAGTTAAGCCCCTCATGGTCGACCTGGTGAGTGGTCCGCCTTCTGCAGCTGGTAGCGGCTCAAGACGTCGAGATTAAAAACACTTGAGAACGCCTCATTTCTGTTTCGCCTTCGTCCTGTAGTAGAAGGAGCGACAGTCGTCGCGGCCGTGAACATGCGGTCTTCTGCGTTTGGCACTTACTTTGTATTTACATTCTCAGCTTACGGATTTCTGATCGCAGGCCTTACTACCGACTCGATCGCTACTACAGGCCAAAGCAAACTAGGCGAGCACCAGCTTACTCCAGTCGGTGCTTTCTTACTGCTAAAACTGGCCATGCTCCGCTTTTCTGTGGAATGCAAAGAGAATACAGAAAATACTCGACCGACAGACAGAGACGCTATTGTGAGTATTCAGCTTTGAATGCCGCTTTAAAGTTCGTTTCGTCTATTCATCTGCTTAAAAATATAATGATTTCGTGTAAATTACCAGACGTGCACCATTATGTTTTGAAGGCACATCCACATGCCAGAACTTTTAATATTATAAGTAACATAGGAAGTTTTTTGGTGCCTTTTTTGGAATATGACACATGGCTTAAGAGGCTGTACGTAACCAATTTTCACTCAGCAACGATCCTCGATTTTTGACATTCATCAGTTAAACAATGCAGCTCATATAAGAGTTTTCATCTGGGCACTCTAAAAATGAAGATATGGATTTTTAAATTGGTTCCCTCAGGCGAAGACATGGTCGTCAAGAGTGTTTTGAGAATCGAAGAATAGTCGGTAGCCTGAGGGTCAGACATCAGGTAAATATGGTAGGTTCGCCAAGGGTTCTTACAACAGCTGAGTTATGGTGTCCCGGATCGTTGTTACGATATCTGCCCGAGCGTTTTCGTGGTAAAAAAATAACACCTTTATAGTTAGGAGACTGCTGAGTGCAACTGTTCATTGAGTGCAGTCGCCACTCAGCTGTGCAGGCAGAGCAGATCGACTTCTTCTGTGATATGTGCACCAAGTTTTAGAGATTCACGGTGAACGATGCTTTTCCTTGAAGCACCGAATATATAACTAACAGCCTTTTAATTTGTTTGTTCTTACTTTGGATGCTGGGGAGCTTTACATTTCGGTGCTCAGTAATGTTGCCTCGTATTAAACGTACTTGATATCTGTGACGGCATAATTAAAAATATACTGGGATTAGCTCTGCAGTAACAGAATATAGATGTTGACAAACGCGCGGTCCTTGCTAATATGTTAACTTGGAATTAATAAAGGAAAGCTGAGTCATTCTGGAAGAAACCGCTTCATTTTTGCTAGTTGTAGTCAAAGGCTTCATAAGTACAGGTCAATAGCGCAATATCCCAATATCAGAAAGAGCATTTAGAAACATCTACGAGACTTTGCATCGTATGTGTTATACGAGCGTTGTTGAATTCATAAAACTAATTTGAGGGATTTGCCAGATACCTAAAGGTAGTAGCCGGGCGCAACAAGCGACATGAATATCTATCGCAATTTTCACCGTATTCGGAGCATCCACATGTTACATCAGTCTTGTGAAACTCTGGTTTTCTGCCAAGTTTCGGGAAAGCCAGTAACGGCATATCTGTTTAACCGGTTCGTCTCTTTCGAATCCTTGTTCCTCATCGCACCCGAAGCAAAGAAATTCCTATCAATCACCTGCAGGAAAACCATAGTTGACTAAAAATTTTCTAAACGAAGGTTTCACTAGCTAGGCCAACAAAATGACAACACGAACTTTGATGAAGTTGAAATTTGCTTCGAATACCTACAAGATTTTTAACAGAACTGTCCCTGTTGTAAACTTATTCACAAAGGAATCTATTTCAAATACGAATTCTTCATGCGGGGAGCTTGCGCCTCTAAAAACATCCTCACATCGACAACATGTAAGCTCAAAAAGCCTTCTGCGATACCTGTACATCATTATTATCATTAATATACTCGAGCTCTTTCTTCGATGAAGACCAATCGAGAGGAAAGTACGCGTAAAAGTAATAATTAATATCGACATGTCATTACATAGAATTATAAGCACCGG